GGAGGAGGAAAGGCGTACTCACGGCGTCGACTGCAGCGCCCCCTGCGTCGGGAAAGAGGAAAGGCGCATGCAGCGGGTCGACTGCAGCGCCCCCTGCGGCACGGAGGAGGAACCGTAGGCTCTCCGTCCCCCAGCTCCAGATTTCCAGGGTTGGACAGACCCCAACCCTTGACAAGGAGGAAAGTTGCATTTCTGTAGCGCCTTTCACAGGGTCAAGACATCCCAAGACCCAGTTCATGAAATACATTTCCAGTTTTGTGAACAAAGGACAAACTCACATTTATACAAAACAAACAAAAACATTTACCAGGATGCTGCCTGGACTGGAGGGCAGGTCTTACGAGGAAAAGTTGAGGGAGCTAGGGCTTTTCTCTTTGGAGCGAAGAAGGTTGAGAGGTGACTTGATAGAGGTGTACAAGATAATGAGAGGCATAGATGGAGTAGATAGCCAGAGACTTTTCCCAGGGTGGGAATGTCTGTTATGAAAGGGCATAATTTTAAGGTGACTGGAGGAAGGTATAGGGGAGATGTCAGAGGAAGGTTCTTCACACACACAGTGGTGGGTGTGTGGAATGCGCTGCCGGCAGTGGTAGTGGAGTCAGATATATTAGGGACGTTTAAACGACTCTTGGATAGGCACGTGGAGGATAGTAAAATGTAGGGTATGCAGGTTCGTTTTGATCTTAGAGTAGGATAATAGGTCGGCTCAACATCGTGGGCTGAAGGGCCTGTACTGTGCTGCACTGTTCTATGTTCTATGAATTGCTGCAGAAACTCAGCAAGTCTAGCAGCATCTGCAAAGAGAGAAATCAGAGTAAACGTTTCAAGTCCAGTGTGACACTTTCTCTGAACTCTGACTCTTCTTCTCCAGGAACTTCCTGTTTCTGTTCATTTCTGATCTCCAGCATTCACAGTTCTTCGTTTTACCACATTTATACGCCATCGTCCGTGACATTAGCACTTAGTAGAGCATTTCACAGTGAGATATTTTTAGTGTAGGCGTTATTGTAATGTAGAAAATACCTGCTGTCAAACACAACAATGAGATAACAATAACTTAATTTGTTGGGTTTTTTTTAATTCTTTCACAGGCATCGCTTGGCTGACAAGCATTTATTGCCCATCCCGCATTGCCCCTTGAGAAGGTGGTGGTGAGCTGCCTTCTTGAACTGCTGCTACAGTCCATGTGCTGTAGGTTCAACCCACAATGCCCTTAGGGAAGGAATTCCAGGATTTTGACCCGGCGACACTTAAGGAACAGCGATATATTTCCAAGTCAGGATAGTGAGTGACTTGGAGGGGAACTTACAGGGGGTGGTGATCCTCTATATCAGCCGCGCATGTCCTTCTAGATGAAAGTGGTTGTGGGTTTGGAAGGTGCTGTCTAAGGATCTTTGGTGAATTTCTGCAGTGCATCCAGCCCTCGGTCCATATCCCTTGTATATTCATCTGTTTATCTAAAAGTCCCTGAAGCACCCCTGTCGTATCTGCCTCCACCACCACTCTCTGTGTAAAAGACTTGCCCCTTGCATCTCCTTTAAACTTTCCCCCTCTCACCTTAAATGCATGCCCCTAGTATTAGACATTTCAACTCTGGAAAAAAGATTCTGACCATCAACCCTATTTATGCACCTCATCATTTTATAGACTTCTTTCAAGTGTCCCCTCAGCCTCTCCCACTCCAGAGAAAACAACCCCAGTTTTTCTAGCCTCTCCTTATAACTCATACCCTCTAATCCAGGCAGCATTCTGGTAAACCTCTTCTGCACCCTCTCCAAAGCCTCCACATCCTTCCTGGAATGTGGTGACCAGAACTGAATGCAGTACTCTAAGTGTGGCCTAACCAAAGTCTAATAACGCTGCAACATGACGTCCAGTCTCTTGTACTCAACTCCCCAACTAATAAAGGCAAGCATGCCATACGCCTTCTTTACTACCCTATCTACTTTCCTGGCCACTTTCAGGAAGCTATAGGCTTGAACCCCAAAATCCCTCTGTACATCAATGCTGTTCAGGGTCCTGCCATTAACCGTATACTTTTCCTTAACATTTGATCTCCCAAAATGCAGCACATCACACTTACCCGGATTAAACTCCATCTGTCATTTCTCCGCCCATACCTGCAACTGATCTATACCCCACTGTATTTGACAACCTTCTGTACTATATCCACCATTCTACTGATCTTGGTATCATCTGCAAACTTACTAACCCGCCCATCTACATTTTCATCCAAGTCATTTATAAATCACAAACAGCAGATGTGATGCCAATCAAGCGGCTGCTTTGTCCTGGATGGTGTCAAGCCTCTTGAGTGTTGTTGGAGCTGCCCCCATCCAGGGCAAGTGGGGAGTATTCCATCACACTCCTGACTCGTGCTTTGTCGATGCTGGACTGGAGTCAGGAGGTGAGTTACTCGCCACAGTATTGCGAGAGCCTTATCTGCTCTTGCACATGTTGTATTGGCCGGTCCAGTTGAGTCTGTGTTCAGTGGTGACTCCCCTGGACAATGATAGAGGGAGATTCAATGATAGTGACACCACTGAATGTCAAGGGGGGCAACCAGTAGCTCTAGAACCTTCAACTGCCTGCCTCCGAGGTGAGTGCATTACCTGTTGGACTGGAATGGAAGTACAGAATGCAGCTGATCTGGCCGTTAATGACAATCCCAAACCCACATCCTTCAGTCAGACATCAACCAATCAAAACATCTACCCTGATAATGAAGAGACACAGCTCCCCCCACCCCACCCCAAACCCACGGTGTCAATTTCAAATCGGAGATGTACAAAACCCTGACAACTTTATTATTGAGTATTAAATGAATAATCTGAACATTCCAGAACACGAGTCCTGACACAGGGTTTGCCATTTGCTGCCATATATATTTGGTCATCAAAAAAATATCTTCCATTGCAAAAGTCGACGAAGTTGGAGAGCAGGAATGCATTGTACGTCCGGGACATGAAGAAACAGACAGAGATGAGGCAGGATTTCTTCTCCCAGAGGGCTGTGAATGTCGTTAAGTATATTCAAGGCTAAGAGAGAGACACTTTTAGTCAAGGAAAGGAATCAAAGGTTAGAGGAAAAAGGGAGGAAAGTGGATCAGCCACGATCTCACTGAATGCTGCTTCAACGGGCCGAATGGCCTACTTTTTCTTCTATCTCTTTCGTTCGTCTAACGGGAGTTAAAGAGTGAAATCAACAATGTCCTGCACCAAGTCATTCATTACTAAAAGACCACTGAGGCACTGGGCAAAGCGTAAAAAAAATTCCCAAGCACGAGAGCATCACAGAGGTTCCATCCAACAACGATAATCAAACAGAGGAATCTGACACAGCCCCTCCAAAAGACCAAACTGTCCAGGGGGGAACTGAGAAAAGATTCCTCTTGTGGGAGAAATCGAGAGAACTAGGGGCAATAATCACCAGATGGTGACGAATAAACCCAACCAGAAACTAACGAGAAATCTCTTCACCCAGAGAGTAGGGAAAATGTGGAACTCACTCCCATAGGGAGTGGATAAGGGGATGGACAAAGCTGTGCTTAAGGTGAAACTGGACGAATATGATGGAGAAAGGAGCAGAACATTGTGCTCTGCTTTTATTCATTCACAGGATGTGGGTGTTCCTGGCTGAGCCATGTTTATTGCCCCATCCCTAGTTGCCCCCTTGAGAAGGTGGGGGTGAGCTGCCATCTTGAACCGCTGCAATCCATGTGGTGTAGGTTGACCCACTTAGGGAGGGAATTCCAGAATTTTGATCTAGTCACGGTGAAGGAACGGCGATATATTTCCAAGTCAGGATGGTGAGTGGCTTGGAGGGGAACTTGTAGGGGGGTGGTGTTCCCATGTGTCTGACGCCCTTGTCCTTCTAGATGGAAGTGGTCATGGGCTTGGAATGTGTGGGTTTGGAATGTAATGACTAAGGATCTTTGGTGAGTTTCTGCAGTGCATCTTGTAGATAGTACACACTGTTGCTACTGAGCGTCGGTGGTGGAGGGGGTGGACGCTTGTGGATGTGATGCCAATCAAGCAGCTGCTTTGTCCTGGATGGTATCAAGCTGCTTGAGTGTTGTTGGGCCTGCACTCATCCAAGCAAGTGGGGTGTATTCCATCACACTCCTGACTTGTGCCTCGTAGATGGTGGACAGGCTTTGAGGAGTCAGGAGGTGAGTTACTTGCCGCAGTATTTCCAGCTTCTGACCTGCTCCTGTAGCCACTGTGTTTATGTGGTGAGTCCAGTTGAGTTTCTGGTCAATGGTAACCCCCAGGATGTTGATAGTGGGGGATTCAGTGATGGTAACACCATTGAATGTCAAGGGGCGGTGTTTGAAGTTGGAGATGGTCATTGTCTGGTTGACAATGTGAGACATTGACTTCCGATTCTGGAATTTACTGCTGTACACAGGTCCGTGTGGGTGAAATAAGAGGGATTGGGAGTGGACTCGTGTGGACATAAAGATCAGCATGCCCATGGGTGGGCCAAATGGCCCCTTTCTGCGATGGTGATTCTGTAAATCCAGAGTTGCAGTATTTCTGATAGACACACCTCCCCGGCCCACGTCAGCTCCAATTTCCACACAGGACTGATCAGCAGAAATGTGTTGGATACTGAATATAACACAGCCGGTGAACATACTGAGGTATCTCCCACCAGCGTTTCAAATAGCTTCAGGGCTCTGGGTATTTTCGAGCAGCCAATCGAAGTGAATTTGAAATGCCGTCACTTTCACGCTGCAGGAAGTGTGACAGCCATTTCTGCACAGCAGGATCCCACTAACAGCGGTGTGATTGCGAAGCAGACAAACACACATTTTTTTTCTTTGGAGAAACGGTTCTGTGTTGCACGAAGAGTCGATATTGAGCAGTGCGACAGAAAAGAGAAAATCGCGCCCGATTCTCGTTCAGTGGCGTTTTGGTCCTCCAGCCAGTGAGAGAATCAACTCAAGGCTCCATCTGAGGGTCAGTACCGTGGGCAGCACAGCACTCCCTCAGCACTGTCCTCAGAGCCTCAGGCTGGGTGAAGGTGTCCTGCCTCTGGGGTAGGGGAGATTCGAACACGGGGCCCTCTGATTCCGAAACTGAGAGTGCGATGCCACTGTGGCCGAATGGATACCAGCAGCATCCACAGGGTTTTCACCTCAGGCTGGTCAGCGGGTTATGTTGGACAATAAACACCATCCCCACCACCCCCCCTACTCCCCCAGGGGGAGCGCCGTATGGCACTGATGAGCCCAGGGAGTACAGAACTGATTGACATGAGCTGCAATGGATTCAGTTTGTTCTTAATTCCACCCCATTTCCACCACCCCCCACACTGCCCCCGCCCCCACTCCCCCCCCCCCCCCCACCCCACTTCCTCGGGTCAGGATGAAGCATAGAACTGGAGTATTTACAAAGCAAGAGACGCACCGTCTTCATCCCCAGTCCCTCATCTACTTGCGTGGAGTTAGGGAAGGCTAGAAATGTCTCTCTTTGCAGGGGGGCCTGCTGGTTTTGCGCCATCAGCCTCACTCTTTCCTTCGAACATCATGATTCTGGAAAAGAAAACAAGGGTTTCATTTTCAATCTTAAAGCCTTCATTAATGCTTCAGTATTCCCCATGTGTCAACAGAAATTACAGCTTTGTACCTATTCCTGTTTTCAAAAACAAAAGGAACACGCATTTATGATTTTCCGATGAAGGGTCTAGGCCGGAAACGTCAGCCTTTCTGCTCCTATGATGCTGCTTGGCCTGCTGTGTTCATCCAGCTCTACACCTTGTTGTCTCAGATTCTCCAGCATCTGCAGTTCCTACTATCTCTGAAACAATTTCATTCAGGGTTGAATGTTTTACCAGGAGGCTGGGACTGTCCAAAATAATGCCTTAGGATCGTTCCCATTCACCCAGGGAGGAACCGACAGAGCTTTCGTTTATATCACATCCAAAAGGACAGTGATACTGCACCGGAGGGTCAGTCTGGGTTATCTGCCCAAGTTTCTAATGATTTGAACCCACAACCTTCTGACTTTCAAATTAGGATCATTGCCAATGGAGACTCTATAGACCCACAGAAAGCTTCAGTATGTCAGTGCCAAAACTGTCCTGGGATCGGACTGTGCACTGAATCCCAACTCACTGCGCTATGACTGCATCGTCCACTGAATCCTCCCATCATGTCCTGGGATCAGACTGTGCACTATATCCCACCCATGAAAACCCTGGACCACACCCACAAAGGAGCTGGGATCGGACTGTGCACTGGACCCCACCCACAAAGTGCTGGGATCGGACTGTGCAC